AGAATTTCCCAAGCTTTGTTTTGTTTCAGTACTTGTAAGTTACATTTTGTCAGTAGCTTTTCTGCTGCGGATCCCTTGGCTTGCTTAAGATCTCATCGCTGCTTTCTTCCAGCTGAGGGAAAGCCTGGTGCCCTCAGCTTGCCTCAACTGGTAATTAATAGAGTGGGAAGAACCTGTCAGGTAAGGTGTTTAAGTTACCCTAACCCATGCATCACTGAAGGAAGGGAGAGAGATGTGTAAGTGGATGAGGTAGATGGAGGGCTCAGTAACCTTCAGGTGGCAAGTGGTGACAAGCAGCTGGCAACAATGACCTGTAGAACCAGTGCTGAGGAGGAACCCTGCAGGTGAGACTTCCCTCCTACACTTTTCTTGTGTCTGCTTCATCTGCTTTCATGTTGTAAGGTCAGTTCTGCCAGCCTTCAGCGTTGAGTCTCCACTTGCTTTCCATTCATTAGTCACTGCGGGAACCCAGTGGCGCACCTGACAGTCATGCACACTGCTCTCTAGTACTGATGGGAGCCTTCTGCAGAGACTAGTATGACACAGACACAGGGTTGAACTGTGAATCATCATCATCTTCAGTTCACATCTCTCCCTTTCTCCATGCCCTGTCTTCGTACTTCTGTGCCTGTCACTGAAAGCGCGGCTGCTGAAGATTTTCATCAAGTCAAGTTCTGTGCTTCTCGACCTGTCAGCTGCCTTTGATGCCTTTGGCAGTGTCACAAAAGTGCCTTTCCAATTGTTTTTTTAAGTCATTTTAATATTTTCTTCCTGAGATTTCTTTTGTGGATTTTCTCTGTTGGATCCCTTTATTTCTGCTGCACTTTGTCTTGTAGGTAACCTGCGAGTCTGAATCTGCACATCATGCCTGCCACTTCCTGCCCCATGTGAAAAGGCATGCTTATTTCCTTGATGTATTGAAAACACATCCCTGCATCTTTTCTCTCCTTTTTCCCTAACTTGTGTCAACAGTTCAGGCACTATCTTTGATTTGGAATTTTCCCTCCTCATGTATTTTAACTTGCTGATTATTTTTGTGTAGCTGCTCTGTAGCTGCAGCCTTTCTTCTTTGTGTGTGCAGCTCAAATGCTTGTTTGGGCTCCCTACGCTGCCCAGTTCTCTGGTTTGCCTTCGTTCTTCTACCCATCTGGGAAGCTGCTGCCTCCGTCCCTTACCCAGTGCTTTGGTCAGCTGTCTTTCTGCTCACTGGCAATTGCAACTGACAACGTTGCTGGAGGTTGCTGTTATATACAGCATGTTTTAAGAGAAAAACTGGGGTTGCAACAGAGTAGTGGTGAATGACAAGGACAAATGCACTCGTTCAAGAGTTGGAGTTTATTAGTTTCCCAAATAATCTGCTCAGTTAGCGAATGTTGGTGCTGGTTTTATCCCTATTATTATTATTTTTATTAACATTGGGAGAGCTGAATTTTAACTAGGCAGTTACCAGAGGCTTTCAGAAGGTTTCTGATACATATGCATGCATAAAAATACATACATGGTGTGAGTGTGCGTGTAGATACATATGTTGCTCTTGCATAATGAATATCATTCCTTTGATTATGCAGCATTGTCATTCGATACGTGTTCATATTAACCCACAGTCTGCTAGCTCACAGGCAAGGGTGTTGTAAAATCTCTCAGTGCCAAATGGGATTTAAACTGTTTGTTTATGTAAGAGGTACAATAACTCTGGAATGAACAGCTATTGATGTGCATACTGTTGGCTTATCTCATAGTTGTCACCAGTGATACTTAAAGCTGTAGCACTTCTTAAAACATTTGAAAGATGCTAATTGCCCACTGGTAGTTATTCCTGTGCTGTCAGATTTATTTCACTGTAAAAACTGTGCATAAGCTGTTTGTGCTGCAGATGTTAATGGGGATAGCATGTCTGACTTCTTAAAATTAGACTAAGACTTTGTTTCTGTAAGTGTATCTAAATAGACGTAATTATGTTAAACTGGAGATCTGAAAATTTTAATGTAACATTTCTTAGCTTGTTCTACAACATTGTGCAGCTTACTACATCATCTCTCTTTTGGCACTGCTTTAACTTACAGTGCAGAAAATCATTCTTAGTCATGCCATGGATTGCGAGAGCTCCATACTGATTGCAGTTTTGGATGTGTCAGAGATCAGTAGAAATCCCTTTAGTTTGAGAGAGCTATAGCTTAAATATCATGCTTTTCCTGAGTGGTTAGCTTTCTCAGACTGAGCTGTTAATCTTGTTTTTTATTAAAAAACTACTGGTTACTGACCAGTACTGTAAGAGATGGTTTTAAAGAAAATAATTCGATGATAATACCTTGCATGAGTCATTAATCATGAGTCATGATCAGCAGGCAGAAATGTCCAATTTGTTTTCTAATCCCACACTTGCTGATGCTCTTTATTACCATAGTGATAATATTAAAGTGCTGTTAATGCATATAACCACACAGTTGAGAATGACAGTCTCTTTTTTTGGTAGAATAAAATTTCCATATCTTAAGTCTGTTTTGCTCTGTACATTTTTTGACATGCAAAATCTAGGTGGTATAAAAGTGATCAAACCAGTATAATTTGGCAGGGAGTTCGATTAACAGAACAGACATTTTTTCTTGCCTTGGTTTCAAGCTGATCATCATGGGTTCCTAGAGAATTAGATCTAGTCTGTCTTCTTATGAGGATTGGGATGGCTTTGTATTGATTAAAAATTGGGAGCTAATTGTTCAGGCTACACTTTGCAATGAGAGACCGCACTATCCATTGTTTTAAAGTTTGTTCTCTCCTGAAGAAAAAAAACAGCAGCTGGATAGAAAGTTTTATTGCATAAATGTGTGTTGGGAAATGACTACTGACGTTTTAGAGAAAATGGGAGGCTGTTTCTTTTCTCAGAGTCTGAAAATAAAAAGAATCATTTAGCTGAGAAGTGAGCTTTGGAAACCTGTTTTTCACTCTTAAATAAAATTTTGCCAAGAGAAGCCATTTTAAAGCTCTGAAAGGTAATGGCTAAAAAGTTGACGCTAATATTAGAATGTGCATAAATAGAGAGTGTTGGGGTGTAGCCGCAGTTGGATGATACTATTTATGAAGTAGTGAATCTGGTATTCAATCAGTTTTTAAACTGATTAAATTTTAATTAGTTTTATTAGTTTATACTTGAGGGTAGAAAAGTAGTTGATCATGACAGAATAAAACCTTGAATTCAGCAAGGAACTCAGAAGACTCTTCAAAGTATCTCACCAGATGTTAAAAAGTGATCCCTTTATCTATGTCGGTGTATATGACCTTATAATGCATAGAGTCATATAGACCTTACTAGTTTCTTTATGTTGAACTTGTGAGATGGTGCTGTATTGGTGAATGTGATGTGGGTAGGACAGATACAAATCTACTGGCATAGGCACCTCTCTTTGAAATTGGTACAATGCACACTCCTCCCCATCCTGTCATGTGGAAACTCCTCCATTTCGATGAGGGTTATACCTGCCACAACAGAAGCATTTTCCACTTTAGTGTGGGATGGTGCAGCTACAAACAAGATAAGTGTGCACCTGACAGGATTGTTCACTTCTTTCATTACAGATTAATTATGTGTGGGGTTATTTTAGTGAGTATTTGCTTGCTAGTGTATATATAATAAATGTTTTAAAATTTTCAGTCTGTAAACTAAGATGCCCTGAACACAGCATTAAATATAGCTGCCACCAAATTCTGTTTCAATGAATGTATTTGTGTCCTGGGTTCACTTCAGAAAACCTTTTCAGGAGATTCTTGTGAATTTTGGGAGACCCTCATTTCTGCCAAATAAGATTAAGAAACAAAGATGGTCTTTTTCCCAGTTCTCCAAAAAAATAAGCACCCACTATGTCTTCTGTACAGCTGCATCCATTAAAAATGGGGTTGGGGCAAAGCTAGGGCTAGTCTAGCAAATTGCAAGGTTTTACTATTGCAAGCCTTTTCTGTGTCCTGTGGTGGTTCTTTTACTTCCCACTCTGAATGGCTTCTAAGGTGACTTTTTCAGATCTGGAGTCTCTGGTTAAGGCTTCACGCTATTTCTTTCAAATCACTTGTCAGCCACTTTCTCTAGTAAACCCTTTTCCAAGTAAATAAAACAGAGCTGCAGCTCAAGAATAATATTTGATAATTACTTCCTTGTTATTTCCTGGTATACACACATACATTGCAGAGAAGAAATAGTGAAGCAATAAGCCATGGGTGTACTGATACACAGAAATAGAGTAACAATATTACATAGCTGTATAAAAAGCAAATGCAATGCTCTATATATGATAACTGTTGTACAGTTTTCCTCCTTTGGGGTGAATGTTCTGATGTTCTATATCCAAGTGAGATCCATTTAAAGTGGAACGAGAGCTAGTGGAATGACTGGGGAAAGCATATAGGTACCAGAGGCTAACTAGCATTAAAATGGAGTGTGATAAATGTGTTAATGGAATTAGGCAGAGAATGGACCTCAATATAGGAATGGTCTTTGGTTCTAAATTTTTATGTTCCTCAAGTATTTCTCTCAGAAAGATCTTGGGGTATAATAGTTGTTTACAGAAAAACATTCAGATCCTGAAAAGTAGGGGTTTTGATAGGATTTATCCTCCAACAGGTGTGTAGGCTCTTTTTGGTGGAGGGGGGAGGGCTTAGAAGATAAGTACAGAGTAAGCTGGTCTAATGACGTATGTAACCATCTTACTACAGTTCTTGAAGCCTCCTGGATGTTCTGCACCCAAATACTTTTGAGTAACTTTTAGAAGAAAATATTTTAAAAGATGCTAATTTCTGGCTTAGCTACAAAAATAACTTCATAATATTCCTTCTATTAACTTTGTGGGAGTAGATTCAAACTAAGAATTTTGCAAATACTGTCTGCAGTGATTTCTGTAGGCTTCTGTAATTTCATCACCTTTGTATTAGTTTCTGCTGTCCTGCTTCCCTCTGTCAAAGGACTGAGGTGGGTCTCAAAGGAAAATTTACTCTCTTTTTTTTTTATTTCTCCTCTGTTTCTTTCTAGAAATGGCAGCTTCTCTATGGAAGAACTTACTTCAGACGACAAAGGAAAGGGTACTACAACAGAGAAGAGCATCACTGTATATGGGTGCTCATGGTTATGAGGAAGAATTGATAAAGAAGAAACTTCAGCAGTTTGGTGGTGGATCCATCAACCTCTCCAAAGAAGACAATGGCATTGGGATTCTTACTTTGAATAACCCAAAACTAATGAACGCCTTTACAGGTATTAATTAGTTGATGGGGTTGCTGGTTTTCTTTTTCCTTCTTCAGTTACCCCTTTTAGCATTTTGCCTAAGCAAAATGAAAACCTGTGCCTTACCATTCCTTGTTTAAAAGAAAAATGTTTTAGTCAGATGTGCTTTGAATGTCCATTGTTCAGCATGGTAGCTTTGCCATAAATGACATGAGAAAATAAGAAATTCTCACTGACACAGGGACTGTGTGGCAGAATGTGCCTTTCCCTCTGCCTTTTTTTTTCCTTTTTCTTTCTTTCTTTTTTTTTTTTTTCTCTCTTCCCAGTCAGCCCAATTCTGCTACTGTGCTCTTTTTTGCATCTCCTTTTACTTTGACTCTACTGCTTTGGAAACGTATAGGTTATTTTCATGGGAGTGGGAAGATGCTACTTTTGTGTTGTGGTCCTAAAGCCTTCCCTGTAATATAAAATTCTGTAGTTTGGTCTTTTCGTCACCTGAACTGGCCTCTGTTTCTTCTTCATTTGCCTTATATCTTAAATACCAGTGACTGGTTAGTGAAAAATCAAATGAGCTGTGTATTCTCAGCTGTTGCATATCAGGAATCTTCTTAATATGGTTTTACACTGGACAATACTTAGCTATCAAAACCAAGTGCCCTGTTTGATTAATCTTGTACTGTAAGAGCCTTTTGATCTCCAAGATATTTATTTATTATTTCTTTATTTGCTGTATCTCCTTAACTGTCTAGAATATTCCAGTTTATGTGGTTCTCTTCATATGTAAGTGGCACAGGTTCAGGGTCTGCATCTGCCTGAGCTGGAACTGTTCGTAAGCCTTTCCTGTAAGAATGCTTTTATCTCTTAATATTTTGAAGTGGATACATTTGTTGTCTGGTTAATTTCTCTTTTGCTGTTCTATTTTCCTGCCTGGTTCTTACTGTTCCTTTGCTGTCAGCAAATAAGTTTGCAACCTACTAGAAAAGCATAGAGCTGTTTACATGGAGAATGTCAATCTACTCCTTCCACTAATGATTGTTAGCTGAAAGGAAAAGAACGTAACAGAACAACAGAATTAGTGGTAATGCACCTAGACATCTCTACAATTTCTCTTTTGTTTCTCTTTAAAAGCTCATGTATAAAATCATTACCTAACTTGAGAAGTTGAGGCTAAAAGACGTTAGCATGGAGATTATCCTTCTGAAAGCCTCTCTGTCAGCATGCATATTATTATACCATCATAATTACATTGTTGTTTCCTTTTTTTTCTACAGATTGGTTTTGGGTTTATTTTTTTACTCAAAATAGAGCTGTGCAAGGTACAGCTTGTAGACTGTGTGCTCTTAGCTTATTTGTTGTGGAAGTTGAAAGAGGAATGAAAAATAAGATGTAATAGCAAATGGACAAAGGACAGGTAAAACGCAGTCTGCTATGGAGATCAGATGTAATACAAGTCAAATTGTTTTAACTAAGCTTTCATAGAATCTTATAACTATTTTCTCTGATTTCTAGGTGTCTGGGAGAAAGGGCTCAGAACTGATTTGCTGAAGTGCTGAACAGCTGCTATTTAGGCCACTGGTATCTGTGCCTTGCCTATAGGAAGTGCTATATAATGTTAATGTAATGAAATCATATCATACATCTCAAGTTGAGCACCCAAAATTACCAGATATTTTTTCTCTGGCTCAGTTACTGTTCTGTAAAATAATATAGTCTCTCCTTATAGGACTGCTGTGAAAACAAATCATTAGTTTATGTTAATTAGATGCTTTAGTAGCAAAGAGGAGCTACAAAAACCTGTGAGAAAATGAATAGTTCTGTCTTTGTTGCAGACCCTAATTAGCATGCAGCAAATGAGCCATGTGATCAGGCAGTTGTGTTTTACGGTAGTGTGTGGAGCCCTGTGGAAAGCAGTACTCCATTTTGCTAGGTAATAGTCACAAAAATTTGCTCTGGAAAAATCTTACTATGGCAGTTCAAGCTATTACGGCTTCTCTCTACTGTGCACCCCTGCCAGAGACTGTTGTTGTTACAAGAGGGAAATCAGAAGGAAAATCATGCTGGACCCTTGGCTGCTGTGGTAGATTGTATGGCATATTAATTTATACTGCTTTTCATTGTATTTTAACATGACTGTCTGTAAATTGTAGTTGCTGAGGGACTAGCAAGCACTTGATCCTTTTCCTTTTGTTGAGTATCGAGTAATACCCTTCTGAAATACGAAAAGGGATGGGATGCATAACCCCTAAATTGCCCCAGCAGGACCTGGTTGACTTCATCAGCCAGAGCCTGTAGATGCCACCCTTAAATAAATTCTGTTGATTCTGTATCTCAGAGCTTCTGGATAGTGGCAGCTGTGGATATATATATACACATGCACGCTTCCTTTAGAAAACTGCAAAACATCATTAAACTGTTGAGAGAAGATCTATTTGCCAGGCATTTACTTTACACAGCAGCTTTTTATCTCAAAGAAATTATGTTTATTCTAAGCTTGAGCAACTCGTGGAACCAAAAGCAGAACAAAATTGTTGGCAAATTGCTAATGGGCAATGTGGAGGTTGTTATGCCTTTTTTCTCTTCTTAATTGGGATCTGGTAGCCACCTGTTTGAAATGGTCTCTTTGGCAACAAATGCTAATAATGTCAGTTTAAGTCTGGTGGAACCAATTTCAGCAGCCCAGCCTCTTGCTGAACTGAAGTTGAATAGAATTTAAAAGAGAAGGAAGCCAGCCTGCAGAAATTAGATAATAATGGTGATAATTTTATTTTCTAGAATTGACTTTAAAACATTTATTCTGAGATTGTAATTAAGATGCAAACAAATATTATTCCAAGTAGATTTAGTTCAGTGAAGAGCGCAAACTTACTGGTATGAAATACTGACAGAACGAAGATTTGCTTTGGTACTGTGTCCTCATCATTATATCAAACATCGTGGACTATATCTGTTGGTAAAATAATAGTTCAGTATTGTCAGTGATGGAAGGAATCCTCTCCCAGGAGGATGGGACAGGCTCTGGCCGGCGTGTCTCTTCCCCTGCTGTTGCATGTAACTGGCTCGTACAGTTCCTTTTTGTGAACTCCATTTTTCAGTTAACTAGATTTTTGGCTTGTGATACTTTGTGGAAAAAGTCTTTAGTACCTCATTGCTTTGAATATTAAAAGCATGACAAACAGTGGTTGTGCTGAGTCTTGACTCTGGCAAAGTTTGGGTGCCAGTACAAATACCTTTACTGTAAGAAAGCTTGGCAAATATGCAAAAATTGAAATCCACAGGGTTGATGCACACCTATTTAAACAGCAGCATTTGCAGAAAAGATGTTGAGTATACTGTCAGGCTGGGAAAACATTTCATGTGAAGACCCACAGAAATCTCATCTAGCCCTAGTTCTGCTCAGTATTTTCATTCGTGACTGGGATGAGGGAATAGAAGGTGAACTGCTGAAATTGTCAGATGGCCCCAAATTGGGAAAGCTTGCAAGAAGATTCTTATTTGGAGCAGAGGAGTGGAATTCAAAGTGTTCTTGATTAACTGCTACAAAGAAGGGGCGGGGTTTTTTTGTTTGTTGGGAGTATTTTTGTGAGTATAACTCAAATTGCAGAATATCCTTTGGAACTTCAGGAAGTGCATCTTTGAGGAAAAAACATATTTCAGTGCTTGTGTGTGGAATTTAAAGTGGTTCCCTCTCTTGTGTTTTTAACCCCATCACTTAATGATAGCTTGGTTTTTGTGGTGAAAAATACAACGTAAAGCATAGGAGTGGTAATAAATTTGTGTTAAAAATTTTGTTTCTCTGCTCTTGTGACAGGTACTATGATGCTGCAACTCCAGGAGAGGGTAACTGAATTGGAAAACTGGAAGGATGGCAAAGGCCTTATCATCTATGGTGCAGGAAACACCTTTTGCTCAGGATCTGACTTGAATGCTGTCAAAGCAATATCAAACTCCCAGGCAAGTAGTGGCGCAAATTAAGTTTTGAAGAAAAATCAGCTTTCTGATATTCTCAGATCCCTTTCAGACAGAGGTGTTGCACTATGAGTCTGCTGTAATTTTACATGTAAGTCACAAAACAGAGCTTTTAGTGGCTAGAAAAAATGCTAATAGACTCTTTAAGCTATGACTTAAGTGTTATTGTAATTGATTCATAACTCTGAATTCCAATGTTGCATAATCTTTTCAGCTTTCTCATTTTAAAATGCTACTTCTGTTTCTTAGAGCGGTATATGGTGAATTTACACATCAAATAACCTTTGCTTCAGTAGTTTGGCCTTTAAAAGCAGATACAAGTAATGATTTCTCAGGTATTACAAAGTCAATACCAAATTTAAGCAGCATGACTGCTATTACAGAAGGGTTTCAGTTTTTGTTAAAACTGTGCTTGGATCTGCATAAAATGGAAGAACAGATGCAATTCTTGTGCTCCAGAGCTTTGGTGTGGATCTTGCAGTCCAGTCAGGTAAGTCACGTGTGTAACCAATACTGCTGAAGAGGTCAGAGTTTGATGACGGTTTTTCTCTCGTGCCACCCTGTCTTGACAACTTTCATGTGCACTGCAATTCTTTTCATGGTTAGTATGTGGTTCTTGGCAATGTGTGAAATTGGACTTTGCCAATTGCAGGGGAAGGAGACCTTCCTCTACAGCTCTTAAGTCCTGGTTTTCATTTGTGTTAACTGGCTTCCTGGTGATTTTTTGTGGCCACTTCAAGTTTCAGGATTTAATGACACAAATTAAACATTTAGTTGAACATTCCAGTAAGAATACCAACTCAAAAACTGATTAATCTGATATTTGGGAAGGTTATTTGGGTATTTGGGAAGATGATGGAACAGATCATCCTGAGTGCCATCACACAGCACATGCAGGACAACCAAGCAGTCAGGCCCAGTCAGCATGGGCTCAGGAAGGGCAGGTCCTGCTTGACTAATCTTATCTCCTTTTCTGACGAGGTGACCTGCTTGGTGGACGAGGGGCAGGCTGTGGACGTTGTCTACCTGGACTTTAGTAAGGCCTTTGACACCATCTCCCACAGTATCCTCCTGTGGGAGAAGCTGGATGGGCATACGCATTGCTGGGTTAAAAACTGGCTG